AATGAAATTAACTCTCTAGAAGCAAATCTGAATTGTATACAAGAAGTTATCTTGACTCTGAAGCGCCAGATGCATTCATTAGAAGATTCTGATTGCTGTTTACAGAAGATCCTGAGCATAGTCTCCAGAAGGATCTGAAGCAAGTAGCTCCAGAAGATTCTGAAGCTAGTCAGAAGCATCTGAAGCAAATAAGAATATTGTATGAAGAGTTTCTCAAAGCATAGTTTCTACAGAAGTTTCTGAAAGTACTAACGCTGCCAAGTACTGAAGTTCTGTGTCAAATATGCTCTGATGATCAACACGCTGAAAGCACACATGCTGCAGAAGACTCTGATACAACAAAGTTCTGAGCATCATTAGAAGACTCTGACTCATTCAGATTCTGAAGAACTTGCTGAAAACTGAAGAAGAAATATTCAAAGATTATATCCGTTGGAGTAAATCAAACGTATCTTTCCTCATTTGTGCTAGACACAAGAACACAGACAAAAAGGATTTTTCTGTGCCTTCTACTTCTAGGAAAGGTCACTTGATGTGAAGACAAAAAGACTCAGACCTTTTGGGACACTCTTCTCAACGCTCAGCATCCTTGGATCAGCTGCCTATAAAAGGAAGACTCCACCAAATTCTTCAGTGACACAATTTGCTGAAAAGAAATCATAATATTCAAAGCTCTCATTCTTTCATATTCTTCTTAGAATTTCTTGTACTTAAACTTAAGAGAAAAATCACTGTTGTGATAAAAGCTTTATAGAAGCATTAATAATCTTGTATTTGTTTTACATTGATTGTAAAGGTTTTCCTTAAGAGGATTCAGTTGGAATTAGTAGCTCATGAGAAGACTAAGAACAGTTGTTCTTAGGTGTTACTATTGTAATCTGTTTGATTAAATAGTGGATTAAGTCCTTGTTGAGAAATGCAAATCACTCTAGGAAGGGTGGACTGGAGTAGTTAATTTCAACGAACCAGGATAAAAATAATTGTGTTATTATTTTTTAAGTCTTAATCTTTCATACTTATTCAACCCCCTTCTAAGTATTATCTCACCTTCAAGGACGAGTTATAGTTAAATACATGAGACTTCCAACCATTTGTTTGAACAATGTTGCATCAACTTTAGTTCCTCCTTCATCCTTTGACAACTTTGTTCCCAGTACAATTGGATTTTTCACACTATTGCTATTTTCCATTTCAAATCTTGCTAACACTTCTCGTGCATACCTTCTTTGACAAATAAAAATACCATTTGAATTTTGCAACACTTCCATTCCAAGGAAGTGTCTCATTCTTTCTAAGTCGGACATATCAAACTCTATCATCATTGACTTTTTAAATTCCATACACATGCTCACATCACTTCCAGTAAATATTAAGTCATTTACATAAAGGCTAATTATTAAAATTTTAACTCCTTTTGACTTGGTGAACAAAGTATGCTCACTCGAACATTTCTCGAAGCCTTCACGCAAAAAGTAAGCCTCAATTTTGTTGTACCACGCCCTTGGCGCTTGCTTAAGGCCATATAGAGCCTTTTTTAGCTTGTAAAACTTCTCTTCTTCTCCCTTCTTAACAAACCCTTCATGTTGTTGTACAAATACTTCCTCCTTGAGTTCACCATGAAGGAAAGCGCTCTTTACGTCAACTGAGAAACGTCTCAGCCACATTGTGTTGTTGCTGCAAGTATTGTTCGAATGGTATCAAGCCTTGCCACTGGTGCAAATACTTCGGTGTAATCAACTCCATACCATTGTGCATAACCCTTAGTAACCAATCTCGCTTTATGTTTCTCGACATCCCCATTTTCATTAAGTTTGGTCTTAAAGACCCACCTAACTCCAATAGGCTTAGCATCCTTAGGCAAATCCATCAATTCTCATGTTTGGCTCTTCTCTATAGCTTTCATTTCTGTTTCCATAGCCTCTTTCCACTTCTTGCTTTTGACTGCCTCTGCAAATGAAAATGGATCATTCTCTGTTACCATCATCATTGCATGCATATCTTCTTCTTCTTCTTCTGAAAAACCTTCTCATATTTCATAGTCTGCCATCCATACTGGTTTTGTTCTGACTCTTTCACCCCTCCCTTCATCTGCAACTTCTTGAATGTTTTCTTCATTTTGTGGTGAATAATCGGAAGTAGTATTTCTGCCCATGACCTCCACAATATTATCCTCGCCGACATGCTCTTTTTCACTTTCATTATCATCTTTTAGCACGTCCAAATTCAGTTCTTCTTCAGTTCTTCCCCAATTCCAGCTCTCTTCTTCTTCAAATTGAACATTGTTGCTGATGATGATCTTCTTAGTGGTTGGATCATATAATCTATAGGCTTTGGATTCATTGCTAACACCTATGAATACACACTTATTGCTTTTGACATCTAACTTGCTCCTCTTTTGGTCTGGAATATGAGCGTGTGCTATGCAGCCGAACACCCGGAAATAAGTTGTTGTTGGTTTCACTCCACTTCATGCTTCCTCTGGAGTTTTCTCTTTTACCGCTGCAGTCAGGCTCCTATTTTGAACGTGAACACACCAATTTACAACTTATGGCCAAAGCACTTTTGGAACTTTCTTATCAGCTAATATTGAACGTATTGCATTCATGATTGTTTTGTTCTTTCGTTCGGCAACTCCGTTCTGTTGTGGAGTGTATGTTGTTGTCAACTGCCTGCTTATACCACGAGCTTTACAAAATTCTCCAAATTCATTTGAGTTAAACTCACCTCCTCTATCTGTTCTCAAACAAGTTATATATGCACCAGCCTCTTTTTCAATAAATGCTTTGAAATTTTTGAATGCACTAAAGGCTTCTGATTTTTCATGTAAAAAATAACCCAAGTTTTACGTGAAAAATCATCAATGAAACTTATGATATACCTTTTGTTACTGTTGGAAGCAGGTTTGATAGGTCCACACAAATCAGAATGCACGAGTTGAAGTTTCTTTGATGCTCTCCAAGAACTTTGTTTTGGAAAGGATCCTCTATGTTGTTTACCAACCAAACAAGTTTCACATAATTTTTCTAGAACTTTGAGCAGCGGCACACCGTCTATCATTTTCTTGTATGCAAGTGTTCTTAATCCTGTGTAATTCAAATGGTCAAATCGACGATGCCACATGTGTGATTCTTTCTCAGAGGAAAGTTCAACCTGAAGACACATCGAATTTTCTTTTGCTGCCATAGATGCTAACATATGAAACATTCTATTTCCACTCATGTTAGTTTGCATAATTAAACCTCTTTTAGGATGATAAACTTTACAAGTCCCTTGTTGAATTATAATAGCTAAACCCTTCTCCTGAAGTTGGCTTATGCTCAACAAATTACTTTTCAACTCAGGTATGTAAGAAACATTGAGATTACCTGAATAATATCGTTCACTTGAAGTCGTACACTCCCTTTAGCTACCACTACCGTTCTAGTGTCATTCCCAAGCTTCACAATTTGTTTAAATCCTTCCTCTAGCTCCGAGAACCATTCTTTATTTCCGGTCATGTGATTCGAACACCCAGAGTCAAGAAACCAAGCTTCTTCTACATATTCAGCGTAGTTAGCCCGTTTCTCCCAACCAGGACACTCATATTGGAAGTGTCCCAACTGATGACATTTGAAACATTCTACAGTGGCTTTATTCATAGATGACCTCCCTCTTCCTCTACTTCGACCCCCTCGGAATGAGCCTCTACCCCGTCGTGGCTTGTCGTCATAAGAAATTCTTAATGCTTGTTCTTCCTCCTGATTCCCATGCATTCTTTGCTCTTGAACAAGTAAACTTCCATGGAGCTCATCAACAATCATAGTATCTATGTCATTTGACTCCTCAATTGAACATACAATATAATTGAACTTGGGAGTCAAAGATCTCAAAATCTTACCCACCACTGTGTTTTGCTTCATATCTTCTCCATTCACTTTCATTTTATTTATCATCATGAGGGTTCGTGAAATGAAGCTATCGATCTTTTCTCCTTCTTTCATAACCAGCATCTCAAACTCCTTCCTCAATGCCTGCAGCTGCGCTCTCTTTACTTTGGTTGATCCTTGGTACTTCTGTTTCATCGAATCCCATATCGCCTTTGATGTTCTTTTGTCAAGAATTGTTTCCATGATCTCTCTGTCAATCACTTGAAAGAGATAGTTCTTAACTTTCAGATATTTGAGTTTTGTTTCTTCGACACTTTTCCTTTGAGCCTCACTTGCCGCCGAAGTCCCGATTGCTGGTGCTGGAATACCTTCATCCACCAGATTCCACCTCTCTTTACTCCTCAAGAAATTCTCCATCAACATCGACCAATGATCATAATGGTTGTCAAATCTTGGAGTCACAAATTTCTCATGTCCCCTTTTGAAAGCTCTTGATACCAAATGTTAGAAATCAGATTTTAACAAAACTACAAAAATAAGTGGAGGAATGTGTGTCTATTCGATTAATCAGTGGCTAATATATAGTCATCTTACAAGCAAAAAAAAATAACCAACTCTACTCTTTACATGCCTTCAGAGTAGTAAAATAAGTAACAAACTCTATTTCTCCTAAAGAATAGGTCTTATTCAAACAGACTAATAAAACAGTAGACTAAAACAAATACTAAAACACTAATATGTGTCCACCGAACACTATTTATTTATTTGCACTTTTATCATCACATTATATATCTGAAATAAATTGATTTAGCATTTATTTCAATAACGTAAAATAAAATAGTCAAAAATAAGTGTCGCACTCCACAGCAGCAGTCACCATACAATCCTTACAAAAACATTAACTTAACCCAGAAACACAACTACAAGATAAAAAATTGGCAGATACAGATTCTTTCACACTACCTTAACAACTCAAATATAACAAACTGGAAAATAAAATAACATTTTTTTGTCAAAACTAAATTAATAAAAATTTTAACCTGTGAATAATACATAGAAAGCTACCCTCCCTCGTTCTATTATTTCTAGAACAGGATCAGAACCAAAACTCCCTGTCACACCAATTTTTTCTCCCTAATCCTTCGACTTTTTCCTGGCTTTGCTAGAATTGCCTTTGGTTCTCTTCAGCTTGTTCTCAACGAACCCTTGCCCTGATTTATCATGAGGATTCACTTCTTCGAATTCTATAGGTTTTATAATAACACCGGACTTCTTCACCACCTGCATATACAACAATATATCAACAAAAGAAATACAGGTACAAATCATACTGTTTTTTTGTGAAGTAGTTCCATTTGGTACAAGAACCCTCTAAAACCCGACTAGTATTATCCAATTAATGGCTTTACTACTCCTTCAAGAAGGACAGTCCAAATATTATTCCTAATTACAGTATGATGATAAACACGAACAGTAGAAGGAGCAATTTGCCAAGGAACTATTCTGAAATACTTACTGCAGGCCGATTAAGAAGTCCAATAGTAGTTGCTGGGTTAAATTCAGGTCCAATGGGCATACGCATACTCTGATCATAGACCTGTTTGGAAGTGAACGGATAGGGCAACGTTTTTGCATGGAGTTTCTCAGCCTGTCATCCAAAAGAATAAAATCAAAACTTGCGCATTAACTAAAATAGGAGAAAAATAATGTATACACAAGACGATGGTGGTTGGGAAGATGATTCAAGCCACTAAATTATATAAATGATTATGCAGTTTCTGTTCCTCTTCCCCAACCAAATGGTGTGGACCAACACCTAACCTCTCCCACTGCCATCTTGGATTCAGGCTTTCATATATTATAACCTTATTATGACCCTATTTGAAATCGGGTTTGGAATAGATGCGTCTAAAAATCCCTAAATGTTGGAATGATAGTACTACCTACCCCCATACACATTTATATACACACACTGGCACCTACATTAACTTAAAAGGTATTCTAAACAACATTGTCATGTGCCAATATTAGCATCATATATATACTTTTAAAATACATGATAAAAATAATCATTTGACTACATTACTATTTTAAAAATTGTACTAAGTTTGGCAAAGATAATCGGTTCAATCACCAAAAACCATATATTTGAAATAATCAATGGTGCAAGATGGTGAAGTCTTAAACCGACATAAATAGAACCCTCTCTAAAACAATATATGATATAAGTTGACCCTTCTCTAAAACAATATACTTATAATGTTAATTAATATTAACAATACCACAAATCTTAGTAATGTGAACAGTATATGCAACCCCCCCTATATAAAAAAAATATCAATCAAGAATAAATGATTTATTTTCTTACTATCACATGCAAGTACGCTAAAGTCTATAATTAGGAAGCTCGTGAAAGGCCCTAAACCTTGTATTTAATGCCACTAACCTTCTTGCCTAATTTCTCGGAGATGATCACATTTTTTAGCTGAGCATCCTTTCTCCTCTTGATAGCTTCTTCCTTTTTTCTCTGGGCATCTTCCTGTTTTTTGATCACCCAGGATGGTAAACCTTTCTTTTCTTGTACATAAGACCATTGGCCCCAGCCAGGAAGAATTAGAGGCTTTTCTGGCTCAGGATTTTCTTCATTGAGGACCTCCTGTTTATCCTTTTCAAAAGCATCTTCTACATCATCCCCAGCAAAAGCTTGTCGAATGAGCTCCTCTTGAGATGGAAGTTCATAAGATGGTTTAGATGCAGAAGTCAAAATTCCATCCACCATTTGTCCTTCATTATCTGTATCGCTATCCTCTGCCAATTGATCGTTTTCAATGTTCTAGGACATAAAATGACAGCATAGTCAGGCTACACCAACAATGTAATCTATATTCTTGACAAATACAAAGATTTCACCAACAATGCAGCCTATATTCTTGATAAATACAAAGACTTAACCAATAATGCAGTCTATATTCTTGACAAATACGAAGACTACATACCTTTACATTTGGCCTAACAGGTTCTTTCAACTTTGGAGACTTTTTGATGTTTGTGTCTATATCATTTCTGTTTTTTGCCTGCTCATTATCAGTACATCAGTCCAACAAATCGCCACATAAATATGGAAGATATGAAGAAAAAAATCTTTGATAAAAGAAAGAGATTACAGATCTAAAAAACAAACCGTTATATAATACCTTATTCCATTTATCTGAGGCATATATGGAAACTTCATATGTGGTTTTTGGCCCAGGATTCTTTACGATCTCGTCAAAGTTCTGTGATCAAGATTCAAGAAATGCATAATGTGTTATACTCAACAAGCAAAGCAGATCTGAAAAAGTCAAAGAAAATAGAAATTTCATCACCTTGAAAACAGATTCTTTGCGAGTACCAAAACCTTCTTGACTCACGATTAAATCATCAATGATATCCTTCTGCGGAAGATCACTTCCCTGATTCTCAATGTCGCCACTTTTATTGACCTCCAAGTCATCATCACTATCACTGTTATCATAAAATTCATCTGATTTCACTTTATTACCAGCATCAACTATCTGAGCTTTTTTAGCCATTCCAAATACTCTTCTGCCACTGGTAGATGCTACTTTTGGATCTTCTGAGCCACCGGAATCCTCCAGCTTCTTCATGGAATCTTCATATTCTTGTACAGTAAGGTTGACTTCTTCAATAGTTTCTTCTTTTCTTTTCTCCAATCCACGCCTCTGTACCAGAATAAGTCAGACGGAGACCATAAACTCATTGCAGAAAACCCCTAAAGGATAAATTCCAAGCTCTAAATTGGATACCAAAACAATATTTAAGAACCAAAATATGCAAAAGATATGTCTTCCTCATAGTTGGAGATACCCTTTCCAGCATCAATATAACAAATCATTTTAAAATATAATAGTTCATAGAAAAGATGCAAGTGTTTAACCCATAGTCTTTGTGGGCGTTAGAAACATATACATGCCATCAGAGGTTGGGTAACTTATACTTATATCAGGAAAATAAAAATAACAGAGGAAGAATAAATCATTACCATAAAAGGTAAAGATAGCAATCCCGACTTGGGAATTTCATCATCTTCCTCCAACACTTCTAGTGTCTTTTGTTTAGCTTTTTGCAAAATCTTGTTGGCCTTATCCGAATCAGAATCAGCAGCATCCTCATCATCATCTTCATTACTGGAATCATCACTGCTGCTACTGCTACTATCCATAGTCTTCATTTTTCTAGTCAGTTCCTCGTGTCTTTGAAAATGTTCAGTCACAGCAGCACGAGTTCCTTCATCCTGCTTATCTAAACCACGTTGCATGTTACGCTGAAGCCACTTACTTTTATGTTTGTGTCTCAATGTCATGCGTTCCTAAAACAAGTTGGAGAGTGAGAAAAGAATTAATAAGAACAATTTTCTTCTTTATTCAGTAAGACAATATATGCATATGTATACCTCGGCCCTCTGCCGTTCTTGTTTCATGGCATATTCCTTAGCAGCTTCAGGATCCATTTGAGGTTGAGAAGACTCTGCCTTCAGTCTATCTTTCTTTAACAAACGATGATATGTCTTGGACTTTATCTTTTTAACATGCTTTGCCCTCAGTTCATTACGAAAAAGAAGGCTCCGCATTTTAGCATTCCGGTTTTGTCTATCCTTCTCATCTTCAATGGAAACCTATCAAGCATCATAATCAACAAAAAACGGAAATTCAGTCATAATAATGAAGCTTTGTAAAAAGAAACTTAAATAGTGCAGTTAGAGCAATTGCTTTTTGTCATAAATAATTATGGAATTTTCCTTAAGGTCTTTTTGCGAGTTGGTTTTTGGAGGGTTTTGAAAGAAAGGGCTTCGGAGGGCTACATTTATGTTTTGATGTATATTTGAAAATTAATAAAACGAAATTTAAAAAAAAAAAAAAAACATGATACATTAGCATATGATATCATTTTTTTAAGAACAAATAAATACCAAATATAGATGTGGTCCTCCCCTACAAAACCCTTGAAAAAACAACTACCAATCCTAAGAGTATATTTTGATCGGTGGTATGTGACGGAATGGAGTGGTAAATAATCACATTACATTGTTTGGATTAGTAAATAATTAATGGAGTTGAATGAAACATAATGGAATCCATTTTATTCTACTCCATCCGATCCATTTTGTTCTATTCCGCTAAATCATTAAAAAATACTCAAACAATAGAATGGAATCTCTGATCAATTCCGCTTCGTGCCACTCCATTTCATTAAGTTCTATTCTAATCTGCTCTATTCAACAATCCAAATAGAACCTAAGAGAATTTTATTCTATTATTCTACTCATAAATAATACTCCCTCCTTCTCATAAAAAATATTTCATTTGCACTTTTTCCCTGTCTCAAAATAATTGTCCATTTACAATATCAATGCAGCATTTAACATTGTTTTTCCACTACTATACCTCTATTTATTAACTTTCACTTTATCCAATCATTTTATTAACTACAATTAATGAGAGTACTCTAGCAAATGATATTAGTTTTATCATTAAAATCAACACATCTAATCATTTTCTTAAGAACCGCGCATTGCTCAAATAGGACACTTTTAATGAGACGGAGGGAGTAGTTATATTAATGAGGGAAACCTAATAATGGGCCATTTTAAGCACCATATACTCCGTAAAATGCCATAGCAGTTGTAAAAAAAAACGCCTCTGCAATTCGCCATGGCTGATATTCGGAAACACCAATGAATGTTAATATATCTTTCCACATAGTTGAATATGAGGAAAACAATAAAAAAATACTGAGGTTGGATTGAAAAGAGAGGAGATTTCAATTCAATAATTCGTAAATACATTTGTGAAACCCAAAAAAAAAAATCATTTTAAAATCTATATCATCTTATCTTATCCTCAATAATGTCAGGCAAGTTTATTCCAATCAAAAGGGAAGATCAACAATCTTATTCGAAGCTAACCTATCGTAAAATAGCACATCCAACAACCATTAATTTAACAACCAAATTCAAGTTTGAGTTTGAAAATTTAGAAAGCTCCATAGAACATAAATGCTAAACGCAAAGTAGTTCAACTTCCCAAATGAAAACTCAAGACATTATGATTAATGGATTATATACATAGAGCATAGACTTGGAAGGCAAGGAAGCTAGAAAAGAGACAACCAAATTTCACATTCAGCGATCCGCTACAGTCATTAATGTAAAAACCAATTACCAACTATAACTAATATAAACATCCATACCTTGTTTAATTCAAGAAGCCGAAAACCATCATTTTTATGAGCTTCCAAAATTTTGTCATTCTGAACTAGTGCAGCCATTTTCCTCTCAAGTTCAGTTCTGGGTTCAAATTCAGAAGCTATTGCTCCTATAGTTGAAAACCCTAGATCTGTTTTTTCATCAAAGAATATAGTAGGAGCCTCTCTATTTCTCTTAATAATGGGCTGCCACTTCGTGACTTCTTTCTTTGATATTTCATATGCTACCTTCCTATCCACCTGTGCTTGTTCCGCCTTTGGAAGTGGTGCGTAAACAGTTCTAGCATGCTTCTCGATAATTTGATTTCTCTTCCGAAGTTTTGCATATTCATTTGCTAATTCAGGCTTTTCACGAAGAGGCTCAAGGAGGTCGTTAATACTAACACGTCCATCACCATCCACAACATCACGATTGGGATTATCATTATCTTCAGACTCTGGATATAGCTCAGGAATACCAGTATCCTTGATCATAGTCTTCCCTACATTACGATATAAACCAAACTTGTGTCACTATGGAAACCAATCAATGATATGAATAAGTTGAACACCGTTGCTCGTTGTTCATACCAATAATTCTTTGTACCATCCTAGCATTTCTTGCGCCATCATCGTCTTCATCATCAGATTGCACATTTTCATCCTATAAATACAAATGGACAAAACCATGACAAATAAACCAATTGAGCTGAAACATGAATTTATCATTCAAGCAATCAATCACCAAAGCATGAAAATGAAATACCGAATATATTTGAATACTGACATTAATATTATAAGATTAAAAACAAATACAGGTAATAAGGTTGAAGATAAACAAATTAGGGTTTCTTCAAACCTCGAAGTCAGAAGAAAGGTCATTATCTTTGACGGAGACAGGGTCGTAACGCTTGTTCTTCCTTGATTCTTCTTCAGGTAATTCTTCTTCGTATTCGTATACGTCATTGTCGACTTCATCGACTTCAACTGTGGTAGGGTTTAAACTTTCGATCTGTTTTTTCAAAGATGAAGGCAAATGAGGACCAGTTTTTTTCCGGCGAACGTCGGAAGTCTTCTTCGACTTCTTAGATACGGTGGTGCGGCTGCGTTTGGCGTCGCCCCTCTCCTTACGCTTCTTGTCTGCCATGTTTGATGAAGCGGAAGCAGCAACAACACTTAACTCAACGAGACATAGATTTGAGCCGCTAGGGTTTAACAAGGCAGAGGAGAAATTAATTATTTTATTTTTTTTTTGGTCTAACTCACATTTAAAAAAATGTAAAGAAAAACAGTTTATTAATCATTTCGATTTTAAAAATAAAAAAATATTAATGTCTCAAAAAAAATATTAATCTAATCCATAAATAATAAATTATATAAAAATAATGTTTATTATCATTTTTCGTTCAATATCTTTTGGTTCTGATTTATAGGTCTCAGTAGCTGGACAATAATATTATATGTAAGTTTATGAGTTTGATTATGTGATATTCTATTTGTTAATTTTTAAAAGGTGAAAGAGAATTTTCTAACATACGCTATTATTTATTTTTTAATGAGATTTACAAGTAAACTTGTTTTCATTTATCCGATAATTTCTCTAAAAGTGAAACGAAGAAAGAATGAAGGTGTGTTGTTCTAAAAGTGAAACGAAGAAAGCATGAAGGTGTGTTGTTGCGAATGCGAACAAAGGAACTCTCCAACGAGGTTGCAAACGAATCCTGAAGCGAGAGGAAACGAAACGAGACAAGTGTTTTGTGAAATGAAAAGAGAAAAACAAGTCTATTGATAAGTCTAATTTTTCACCCCTTACTAATTTAGCGTTTATTGGATTTTTATTTACTGGGTTTAATGTATAATATTTGTTTTAGGGTATAGTCTTTGTATTAGGGTTTTCTCATGGTTTTAGAAAATTTTAGTGGTTCAGATTCTAAATTTTAATTTGTGTTATATGAATGTAATTGTATGAATTTCTGTTGGTTTTAGAAATTTGTGTTGGTGTTGATTCTAAATGTTAATTTGTGTTGTATGAAGTGATTGTATGAATTTTAGTTGGTTTTAAAAATTTGTGTTGGTTCTGATTCTAAATGTTAAATTGTGTTGTATGAATGTGATTATATGAATTTGTGTTAGTTTTACGAATTTGTGTTGGTTCTGATTCTAAATGTTAATATGTGTTGGTTCTTATTAAGTAATTTTCCTTTTAGGTAAATAATGGATGACTTTGTTCATGTTTATATCCATCATATATGTTCATTTGTAGATGATGAGTTTTCTAGTTATGAAGGATTTCTGAAATGTGTTATAGATAAGTGGAGCTATTTTGAGGTGGTTGGGATAATTAAAGACCTGGAATATAAGGAAGTTGGAATAATATTATACAAGAACCCCGCATTTAGTATGCTTACTTTGAGTAATAACAAAGGTGCTCAAGATATAGTTGATTTATGTAAGGTGCATTTAAATGTTCATGTGCATGTTAGAGTCTGTTAGAAGAGAGAGAATTGAAAGAAACTCACATTGTATTAATTGAATTCAATGATGCAAAGGAGGCTGCTATATATAGCAGTGCAATCCTAACAAACCAGCTGATTCAGTGTAACAAACTGGCAGCTCAGCATAACAGAATTGAAAGTATTGAAAAGATAAACTAAGGGCATGAATTATATACTACTCTATTAGTCCCCCGTAGAAGCTGCTGGTGAGTTTGCCAAAATAGTCTTATCCAACACACGCAGTTTGGAACAAAGGGGTACAAACTTGGCAGCAGACAAGGGCTTGGTGAGAATGTCAGCCCATTGATCTTGAGCTGGAACATGAGCAACAACCAGACTTTTGCTGAGCACTTTCTATCGCAGAAAGAAGATATCCAGTTCCATATGCTTAATCATGTTGTGGAGAATATGATTATGGGCCAGAGTGACAGTGCTCAAGTTATCACACAAGATCTTAGGCACTTGAGGGGAATAATGGAGTTCCTTAAGCAAGGACTGAATCCAAATAAGCTTAGCAGCTAGCTGAGCCATACTTCTATATTCTGCTTCAGCACTGGACCTTGCAACAAGTTGTTGCTTCTTAGACCACCAAGAAACCGCATTAGGACTAAGGTATATACAGGCCCCTAAAGTGGACCCCTTGTCATCAGGGTCTGATGCCCAGTCTGCATCACAGAACCCTAGCAACTGCATTGGTTGCTGAATAGAAGCGGGCTGAATAAGAAGACCATGGTGTAAAGTACCACTTAAGTACCTTAAGATTCTCTTGACAGCCTTCCAATGGTCCTCTAAAGGATTGGACAAAAACTAACAGACTTTGTTGACAGAAAAAGAAATCTCTGGCCTAGTTAAAGTAGCATATTGCAGGGCACCAACCACAGACCTAAACTGAGTAGGATCATCAACAGTAGTTGACCCAACCTTGGATAATTTGCTGCTAGAGACCATAGGAGTGGGCATGCCATTGGCATTCAACATATTAAGCTTGGAGAGTAAATCTGAGATGTACTTAGTCTGAGATGGGAGAAGGGAACCATTGGAGAGATGAGTCACTTGAATCCCTAGGAAATAATCAAGTTGTCCCAGCTGTTTGAGAGAGAATCTATCATTGAGATGCTTGATCAAGGAAGCTATGAAAGGAGCAGAACTACCTGTGATGATGATGTCATCAACATAAACCAGAATCATAATCTGAAGTTTACCTTGATGCAGCAAAAATAGACTAGGATCACATCTACTAGCTTTAAAACCAAGTTGAACCAAGGCATTTTTGAGCTTATCAAACCAGACCCTAGGAGCCTGTTTTAAACCATAAATAGCCTTGTTTAACTTGCAAACAAGAGTCCTGTCAGCAGCTTCAAACCCAGGAGGTTGTTGCATAAAGATTTCCTCTTCAAGAATGCCATTGAGGAAGGCATTGTTAACATCAATTTGTTGTAAGGGCCACCTGTTTGTAACAGCAATAAAAAGAACAATTCTCACAGTGACAGGTTTAATGACAGGAGAAAAGGTCTCTTGAAAATCACTACCAGCCTTTTGATGGAACCCTTTAGCCACTAATCTGGCTTTATACCTGTTTATGGAACCATCGGGATTCTCCTTAGTTCTGAAAACCCACTTGCAGCCAATAGGTTTCCTACCAACAGGAGCTTTCACCAAAATCCAGGTCTGATTTCTCAGCAGTGCCTGATGTTCTTCCTTCATGGCCTGAAACCAGTTAGGAGCAGCCAAGGCTTGCACAATAGATGTAGGTTCTAGGTGGGCTAACAATAGGGTAGGGTGACGTTTAGGGAGAGTAATATCGCTTTTGTCTCTAGTTTGCATAGGATGGAGATTTTGAGGACGAATGGAAGGTAAAGCTGTGGCAGCAGGGCTGGAAATAGGGCTAGAACTGGGACTGGGGTTAGGACCAACTGAAGGAGAGGAGTTTATAGAAGAAGAAGGAGAGAGAGTACTAGCTTCAGCTAGATCAGAGAGAATGAGAGCAGGAGAGGAAGAAGAAGATGTGGTATTGGGAATGGCAGTAAGGGGTTGAGGGATAGGCTGCTGACCAGAAGAGGAAGAGTGGTCAGAGGGAGAAGGAGAAGCAGAGGAAGGAGACATGTGAGACACATGAGGGACATAATGATTACCAGGCTGAGTAAAGGCAGAATTTGAGGAAGAGGAGGGAAGACTAGATGAACTGGGAGTAGAAGAAACAGAAACAGAGGGAGCAGGTGGAAAGCTGAGAGAGGGAGAGGAGAAGGATGTTGATTTAGAATGAGATGATGAGTTAGAAGAAGAGAATAATGTGGAATAAGGAAAATTTGCTTCATGGAAAATAACATCCTTGGAGATAAAGATACGGCCATCTGAAGCAAGACATTTATAGCCTTTATGAGAAGTAGAATACCCAAGGAAGATGCATAGTTGAGATATAAAGTCAAGCTTATGAGAGTTATAGGGACGAAGGAAAGGATAACAAGCACATCCAAAGACTTTAAGAGTAGAATAGTCAGGAGGTTTGTGAAGTAATTTGTAGTAAGGTGAGACATTGTCAAGGGTAGGAGTGGGAATTCTGTTGATGAGATATGCAGCTGTAACAAAGGCATGATCCCAGAATTTTAAGGGGAGAGTGGACTGAGCAAGGAGAGTGAGACCAGTCTCAACAATGTGCCTATGCTTGCGTTCAACAAGACCATTTTGGTGATGTGTATGGGGACAAGTGAACCTATGAACAATCCCCAAATCTGTGAGATATTGAGTAAGAAGCCTAAACTCGCCTCCCCCGTCAGTTTGAACACATTTAATGGAACAGTTGAATTAAAGTTCTACCATTTTCTTAAACTGAAGGAACTGAACCATGGTGTCAGACTTAAGTTTGAGAGGAAAAACCCAGACAAACCTAGAGAAAGCATCAACACATGTTAGGAAATAGGTATAACCACTAGATGATTGCATAGGGGCAGGACCCCAGAGATCACACACAACAAGCTCAAAGGGGTGAGAATAAACAGTGGCAGATAAGGAAGAAGGAAGTCTATGAGACTTGCCAATGCAGCAAGCATGACATAACTCTGCAGGTGGTTTGGGAGGAATATACAGTTTACACAGTTTAAAAACTTCAACAAGAGCATGATGGTTATGGTGTCCCAACCTAGTATGCCAAAGCACATATTTATTAGATGCAATAGATGTTGCATTATTAGAGTGTGGTGAGGGTAAAACAGTGCTAGTAGTGGCAGAATTTAGAGAAGGACTGAAAAAGGATCTTGTATTATTATTGAAAGATTCATTACAAGGAGACAAATGATTTGTAGTATTACTATCAAAAGATTCAGTACAATGAGACATAGTATTTGTCATGTATGAAGTATTACAATTGTTTGTTGCATGAAAACTATAATGAGAACTACAAGAGTGGAGAGACTTGGACAGTTGAGGAGCAGCAGGATTAGGAAATTTATAGAGACCATCAGCACCAACAAGACCACTGAGTAAAACTTCAGAAGTAGCCTGAGATTTGACAACACAAAACTTAGGGTGAAATTCAAAAAACACAGCATTATCTTGAGCAAATTTTCTCACACTCATAAGATTCTTGGTGATGTGAGGGACATGTAATAGAGTCCTAAGGGTGAGGGATAAGTGAGGTTTGTGAGGTGAGGTAAAA